TTACGGCATGTTTACAATACTTCTTACATACAGTATAATCGAGCCAAAACGCACGCATGCGCCAGATTAATGTTAATCTCTGGGCTATATGAGGCAACATGTTCGCAGCTGAACAGGAATGCAAATAGCGAAAATTAGCCAGTTCCTAGACGTAATAGCCAGATAGGTGTTAGTATGGTTAGCGTATAATTAGTAAGAAGTTAATATTAATATTAATACGGTAGTTACAAAATTCTATCTACCTATATAGTAATGGCAAATATCGCAATAATCTTTCATTATCTGCAACGAGCACCGTTGACATTGTAGCCGAGATTTGAGAGGGAAAAAGAATCATCCTCAGATTTGGCGTTTTTATTCGTTTTCCAGGGCTCTTCCAGCATTGGTGATTTCTTGCAATTTGCCATTCAAATTTTCTGTCTAGGCTTGCTCTGGACGTAATTGCCTATTGCGGTCGACTTATTGTACTTGCGTGACTGATATCAGACGGCATTTCATTGCAAAGTCTGCTAATGACAAGTTTTCGAGCGAGTTTAGAGTTGGTTGACGAGTCTATATCCATCAGATAGCAAACAACACATGAATATCCAGCGACCAAGACAGTGAGGCACACGAAATTTAGGCATTCGGAAATCTAATACAATATAAGACTCTTTAACACGTTGATCAAATGACCTTACAATCGATCGAACACTTTACCTTAATTGTCTTGTTACCATCTATCGAACGGCTAAGAGACCAAGGCGTCATTCTTGGTGGTCAGTGAATTATGACAGTCATAGCAGTGCAAGTGTGACATGATAAATAACGAGAGATCGAAGATATCTTAATAAAAAACGTTCCTGAACTGAGTTGGATATGTGATAACAATAAGTGCCGAGTTAACGTCCAGCGCTAACAGTGCAAGAAGAGTGAGGCGAAATGGTGAAATTCGAATCACTTATTATTACTTGGGGTGATTAATACTAATTAGGAAATCGGAGGCGAGAATCCATTACCCCTAATATCGGGAGTCTACTACGTGTTCATATTCATTATTTGCCACGTTTGATAGGAATGTGAATGATAAACATTCAATGGTACGCGTCTAAGGCTGGTGGGTGAATCGGGGAGCAATGGGCGGTGCTAAAGTCTTCCCCGTCGATATCTCTGTCATCAACATTTCCTTCGTTCAGGTTACAGACACACTTATTGAATGCAATTAATGAGAACTAGTCACATGTGTTCCACTATTGCAGGAAGTAAGATACTTGAATCTGCTAAGAATTATTTATTTCTTCGTAGAACAGGAAAATATTCTAAGCTGTTTTTTGAAGAATATTTTCCTTCCTCACTCATACGTAAGTAAGTTGATTCAACTCACTTATGGTTTTCTTTTCAACGTAATAAACCGCGTTTATTTCTATTTCTGATTTCTATTTCTATTTTATTCTTACAATGTTTGAGTTGCTTTTTTTGAGCTTGCAAACATTATTCTCAACTGTATGCAGAGAATAAAATACTAGTCTTTTTACGTATTCCTTTGGCTAAACAAATACAATTCTGGCACAAATGCAAAATAATTTATTGACCGGTTTTAAATAATATATCGAGAAGTATGAACATTGAAGTCGAGTCATATGAGTGAGTTATTGAGTCTTTACATAATTAAGTGGGCAATCTTCATAATAATAATTACATCTGTTGATGTTAAATAGGTATGAATTTATTGATTTGAGTGGGACTTTTGAAGGATATGGGATAATGATTAATTGCATGGTAGTTATCATTATTATTCTTGTATTTGTTTATTATCAATATTATTTATTTAGAGTGATGAGAGTGTGGAGGTAGAAACGGTATATATGTTGGAGGGGTTGTTATGATTGGTATCTATCCAAAGATAGATTTTCTGTTCCCGTAACAGATAGAACAAAATCATTCGGGTTCAATATATCATCTTAACGGATGAGAACGACTTGTACTTGGGTCTGATTATCGAGTCAAAACGACTCGATAGCTCTTAATAATAATATTATTATTATTATTACTATTACTATTTTTTGTTGTCATTTTCTTGGTGTTCTTTTCTTAATGTTGTTATCATCCTTCTTTATAATATTCTTATTGCTAATGAAAATAAACTTGATGGGTCTTCGTTTATTTATTTGTTACATTCTGAACGCGAGAAAAATGTTCAGATCACGTGGAATGTACGTGACCCAATTCGCAATTGTCCGATATTTATTTCGATGTTATCACATACAGATAAAGTTCATTGGTGGCCAGAGCATCACTTTGTGCTTATTGCGAATTGGGTCAAATTACGATTGGGTCAGAACATTTTCTCCACAGTAACTTGTTTCGACATTTGACGCTGTGAATTATACAGTCTGGCCCACAGCTTTCAATTAGCGCTAGCAATCAAAGCTGACTTTTGGAATGTGTTGTCTCATAATTTGCTGGTTACCTTGGTCCAATGCAAGTCTACATCACAGAGATCTTTAGACGCCTTCACGGCAATAACAGCAGAAACCTGTGAGCTGTTGATACATGTAATTCTGTTAGGAAGAAGGTTCTGAAATCAATATTGCCGATTTGAAAAATGTGGGACGGAAATTTATAAACGAAATTGGAAATCGATATAAAGATGGGAGAACGGGTATTTACAAAAACATATACAAATTGACCTCTTGTCGACAATGAGACTTTTATTTATTGATCTTTTTGCAATTCAAAATACAGGCAGATTAATAGACTGACTATAAAAGTGAGAGTGCCTATTAGTTTGATTAAGCGGCATCAAGTACATTAATATGAAATCCTGATACTAACGCTATTTTCAATACAGAAACATGTTCAAACGTTTGCGCGAAACCAGTAATGGCGTTGAGCAGCCAAAGAAGCAGTAAGCAGAATGATGGTTCTGAACTCAAGACTTGAAGCAAAGGCAATGCCTGTTATGACCGCTAAATTATAACCTCAGATCTGTCTGATCAAAAGTATGTGAGTATCTTCAGGAGGATGCTGGTGTCAGCAATGAAGAGACAAAGAGCTAAACCCTACTGGTAACTTGATGTTTTGGACATTATACATAAAGTCAGTTCTAATAATTATAATTCTTTTTATTAGTAATGAATTCTTCGGAGCAATACATCATCATGTCTATACAGGTGTGGAAAAGACAATCTTGGGAAAAGCAGCTATCAAACAGAAACATTACGAGGATTGCTGTTTGGGAAGCATTCAAATTGAATTGGTACTAGGAGTCGGATTGTTTGATTTAAGAGAGACACCTGTAATGAACAAGATGTACCTGATGCACACCAGCTTAAAGTCGCATTGGAGTTGTCGGTGATTCGACTTCCCACCTGCAGGCTTATTTGCAATGGCTTGGGACATAGAGGCACTCTGTTAGGAACCAAATTTGTAGTCTCTGTCAGTAGGTGGCGATAAAAGTTTGGATAAGCAACTATATGTTAAATGAGCAGTTGATATTTACAGCCACAAAAATATACACCCCCGTTGAAGAAAGCTAATGCAACAATTTTTATTCCTAGGTCTCTTCTTTCCAGCTCTTACTCTGGCATGATGCTAATTGGATATGAGCCAGGAAGATCCAATATTTGCCGAGAGTACCTTGGGCGACATGTGAACCATGTATGCCGTAAAATCGCCGGCATTGTCGGTGTTTCGCTGCAATTGCAGCGGCCGGCGATTTTTACACAAGGCATACTCTATCCTTGCGCGGTTCACAGTCGACGCTCGAGCAATGGGCTTTTTCAAAATCCATTATGCTCAAGCGGGTGGCTGAGCCTAAGGAAGACAGCAACAATAGAGGTTCGTTATAATATCCTCACAACGTTCGAATACCAAAAGAAACGGATGACTGTTTACACACCAGCAATAACCCCACCTTGACGGCTCCAACGTTAAAAGAGCGCACACGCTGGGCGGTTCCGGATGCTAGTAGCTGAAAGGCTGCTGTTCAAAGAGTACATGTTAATATCAATCACTTTCAAATAGGTATTCTATATTATTACATTATATATTACGTACTAACCGTTATAGATCCGGGGAAGATGAGACAACAACAGATCGTGAAGCAGGTGATAATAAAACAGTAAGGATCAGTACCCAATTAGGAAGGATGAAAAGACTCGCAGAAAGCCGTCAAGGGTTATATGAAAAAAATCACAAGACAAATTGACGCAAATACAATTTGCTAGGACAAAGGTAGGGATTCGGTCCGTTGGCTGTTTTCAAACTTTCGAACGGGCAGCAAGGATGCTCCGAAGGACAATAACACCGTCGATGCTATCAACGCGTGGGAACTCCAACTTTAAGAGTAGACTCTGCGGGTGGCGTCAGTGATCTGTCGTAGTCATAAAGGTAGTTCATATTTCAACTATTAGTTTTGAACTAGTGTTTGATTGCGTTAATCATCTTCATAGTCTCTGTACGTGTTCATGAGGTTTCTTCTCGCCTAACACAAATCAATAAAACACATATCTGCCCGGAATCTAAAGCGATATTTCTTACCTTGAAAAGTTGAATGTTCATATCTGCGATGCAAATGATAGGTCTTGTAATATAATAATGATAATAACCGTTTTTAATAAGGATTGGTCGTACTACATGCAGATCGCGGCAGATATATTTCACTCACCCCGCGGATCCAGAATCCGAGAGGAGCGTAGGCGAGACCAAAGACTTGATTCAAACTCACAAGTTCGCCCAGAGCTCTTATATGATATCGACGTCATACGGTCACGAATTGTTCTCTTAAAGGTAACTTTTATTAAATTTTATTCATCGAATTTCACACTTTAGGAGATATCGACCCTATAAGCTTCTTAAACAATGTCAGCTTTGAAATTGATACGAGCAAACTATACTACGATGCAGATGACTTATCTTTCGACGTCACTGGAAGGGCAGGACTTTCGATGATGGTGATGTACGTAACTCGCTTGGCAAATTCGATGGACATCTGAATACTTTATTAAAGGTCAAGCAAAATAGATATACCGTTGCATTAATTCTATGACGAGGAAATATTAAAGAAAATCGATGGATTTTGGCTGGAATTGATGACCATAGTGTCTGCAAGACCTCAGTCTGGAGCTTAATGTATGTAAAAAAATGCACCTGTAAGGAATGAAAATCATGTTGTTTCTCTAACAATTAGCTTTCCGTCATCATCAGGATTGACCGACTATAAAGACAAGTTTTCTCGAAGGCTTTTTTCGTTTCGCATTGCATGAGGACACGTTATTAAACCTTGCTAGTCGCATGCCGGACTTTGTTCGACCGAATCCTGGTCCTAAGATGTACAATGCATATGACTTTAGCGATATGGCTGACCGGTGAGGCATTACGGATTACGTCTAAACGCGACAGATGCGGTTAATCTAATAATGTATGCAATTCCACTCGAACAACGCCCGAACACGAATCACGAGAAAGAGCGGGTCACCCATCGACCCTTTCTTTAACCAAGTGCCGTGGCCATGGGCTGTGCCCGGTGCCGGTGATCTTTGTAAAGACTTTCTGCTATGTATTACGTATGGGACTTGTATCTCCCTGTGGATCTACCTAAACTCTTTGATAACAAAATCTGTATCCAATACACGATCAATGCGCTTTCTCGATAATCGGTATGGAGAATGTCTCAAGCAAGAGTATGGAAGTAGCGGTATATGCGCGCCAATATTTGTAAAGACTTTCTGCTATGTATTACGTATGGGACTTGTATCTCCCTGTGGATCTACCTAAACTCTTTGATAACAAAATCTGTATCCAATACACGATCAATGCGCTTTCTCGATAATCGGTGTGGAGAATGTCTCAAGCAAGAGTATGGAATTAGCGGTATATGCGTCTATTAGAATCCTGGCTCATACATGCATCAAGCGTATGATTATACAACAGTGGTAAAGGCGTGGAAAGAGCAATGAGTTTAGGCAGTAAACAAGAGAAGAAAAACTGACAGATTAAGAACATGTATTTCATGCTCGAAAGGATTGAGGGATAGAACCCAGTCGATATTTTCGATGGATAGACAGAGCATAGGAATTTGCTGTTGGAGGTAATTCTCTCTTTGATATACTGTATCAAACAAATTTATATTTATTGAACTCAAACATAAATTGTATTCATCAATTGTATGAGATTTTTTCTCGATATTAACCATCAGTTATTCTATCATGTATTAGCATATCTGCTCATCGATATACATGAAGTGAAAAATGAAAAAATGAAAAAGTTGACCGATGGCTTTTCAGACAAGCTATCCTGGCAGAATAATATGACATTGCAATAAGACAAATGACTCCCTATCGATGATAGCAATAATAAAATACACATATACAAGCTATCAATTAAAACTAATCACAACCAAACCATCAACTCAAGTTCAACACTTATTGATTCCCCAAACCAACCAACTTAATTTCCCAGTAATAAATTCGGCGCGATCTTTTCTCTATTAATGTTAACGATAAAAAAACGAAAAGGAAAAGAACCGAATAAGAGAGGAAGAGAAGTGAAAAATAAGTTGGTTGAGTGTGTCTCTCCCTCTCTACAAAATTAAATCAAGTTGACTTTAGTGAATGAGGACAAATAATATAAGCAGTAATCCCAATATGCTGGAGACTATGCTCACCTCTCCTCCTTTCGGGCGCATACTGATTTAATCTCGTCAGCAAGATAAAAAACATCCTGACCTCGGTGGATTCAGCACTCCAGCTTTGGAAGGCACGCTGGTTGAGCATTCTATAACTCAGGTTAGGGACCGACGATGCAAAGTGTCGTCGGTAAATTGAGAATGGGATTCCGCCTGATCGAATGAGAGCTTCGATGCTCGTCGATAATGTTAATGGCGGATTTTCGAGCTGGACGCGCTCGTCTTCGGTAAGGTCGATATAATCTTCGTATGTCTCCATTATAATATTGAACAAAGTGAGAGAAGATTATATGTTTAAATCCTGACGCAGTGTAAGATTTATATGTTTAAATCTGATGCAGTGTGTTTAAATCCTGACGTTTATATATATCCTGGCGCGGTGTATTATTTATTAATGCTTTCTAATTTAAACATTTATGGCAAGTCATACTAATATTATGTTTCCATCGGCATCTTGTTTGCACAATATTGACAATGCAATAAACAACGGACAACAATACTCCTGATTACTCAGACTACAATTTATTAGTTTTATATCTTATACAAACTCTGCACTCGACCGAAATCAATTGCTCATGAATTTATCACTATCAATCTGGTAATGTTTATGAAAGCAACCACGGATTATTATAAACACTTAAAATACATTTTGAATATATAAATTTATAAAAAATACGACACCTTCTTTTTTAGATTTTATCTTACAATGTATGCATTGAATACGTAATGAAGCAACTATGCAAGTATAAGCTAGTATCATGCAGAAGCAAAATTGTCTAAATAATCAAGTATTGAATACTATCCGATAAACACAATTGGCTTGATTTGACATCACGCTTACATATTAATATACAATTCTACAATTACTAATGTGCTGGCATTTCATCTCTCCAAAGAGGCAAGTCAGCGAATGGCGATAGGTTGTATGCCTTGTTATTATTTTATTTGGGACGGATTTGTATTTCGGTTTTATTTTTAGCCGTTGATGTTGACGATGAGCTTTAATTGTGCAGTTAACAAGATAAATTTTTCTACTTCTGGCCAGGCGATGTACCACAATCATCGTGATAATATACCTGTTGATGTAGTTGTACGTATATGTTGATGTAGTATGTGTTGATGTAGTATGTGTTGATGTAACGTATATTTCCACCCAAAGCACCCGCTTTGTTTGTGACGAGCAAAGTCTCGCCTTCCTCTGAAAGCCACACGCAATGTCATTCATGAAGCACAGTCTGCACACTGGCGGACCTGTGCATTTAACTTCTCGGTCTCTGCTGTTGTTGCAAAACTTAGTGTCTTCATTTTGGTATTATTATTTGATGTATTAAAGGCAAACGAGATTGAAGACAAGCGTACGAAGAAAACGGCCACTTTTACAAGGGTTGCATCTTCTCAATGGCATCGTCTATTTTTCTTGGTGGCTGGAGTGAAGGATAACAATAATAACGGTGACAATTATACATGTAGTACAATCTATCGTATACGATCGTATAGTATACACCTTATAATTTTTACAGTAAACAAATATGTTGAAACAATGATCATGCTGTAACACTTATTCATTGGGTCATGTTTTGTTGCTTGCGTAATCCTCTACTTGGTCATTATTGCCGTTGCCGTTGTCAATGCCATGTACAAAGTAAAAGTCGGTTTAGAAACCATGAATTACAGAATAAAATGATACCCATGTTGCATCGATAATAACTGTTGGTTATGCTATTTTAATTTGGCTAGATGACAAAGGACCAGCTGCTTGTTGAAATAAAATGGTTGAGGACTCGAGTTGGGGAGTTGGGGCATTTCGTTATTCATTATTCTGCATCATGCATGAGATGGAAGATTATCGGCCATGTCACATCACAGATAAAAGTATACGCATACAACTGATCTATAATATAATAGTGATTATTAGTTGAATCATCACTCGATTCGATGCAATCATTCGAAAGCACATTGATCAAGAAATGTCAGTGAGTGGTCACACCAACTGTAGTACAGATTCTGAGCTTTATTTTTACAGAAGTTTATGACACCAGGTGCATAATAATGGTTGGCTGACATCAAATGTTGGGATCAAATGGCGTCGGCTACCATCGCACTGATTTTGACTGACCAATCCGTTAAATTGCTGAGGCTTAGCCTTCACAATGAACCACCCGCATTTGGCCACTGTCGTGAAACATTTCCGTGTGATGATTTTTCAAACATGCGAGCATATTATATTTAAGTATCACATACTTGCTATTTTCGAAAGCGTACAACCACCGACAAATAATGGGAAATGTACCTTCAGCATAAGCTATTGTTTGTCGTTTTTCAAAAACGGAACAAGTGCATTAAAGTACTTACTGTATATATAAATTAACTACAATGATACTGAGTACGAAAAGCTTTACATCCATCTCGTTTTCAAAACGGAAGTTGCAATCTACAAGATACATTAGAGGGCTATATATTTTAATTGTAATTAACGATAACAGAGTTTTGGGGTCTTTGTCTGATCATTCGAAAATGTCACATCAACGCATGTGGGGCTTCCCTTCTCGCTGCAGTGGGATATCCGCAGTAAATTCGTTTTATTAATAAATAACCGATTTCTCACTGTCTCAAAATATAACAATACAAGTATTGTACATTGTCTTATAGTAAGTTGTCACTGTTTCGCACTGTTAGCATTTACTTAGAAATTACTAATTACTCGGCTAACTTTAGATAAAAAAGATAAATCAAAATGTTCAGACAATTGTGGGTGTTAATTGTTATCCTCCTCCTCGCCAATTGGTTCGTATATGTTAACTTATGTTATCAGTTTCGCAAACGAAAAGCGCCTATACTCTTTGCTAGCCACAGTTTTAATCATTCCCAATGACTTGTTTTTTTAGGCGTCAGTCGTCGTTGTCGTCGTCGTTGTCGTCGTTGTCGTCCAATGAGCCCCCGGACGATCCTTTTTCCGAAATAAGGTGGGATACCTGTCAAACTAACTTATAATGCAAGCTATAATTCATTATGCTACTATTATACTGACTATAATATAAAACATCAGATATTCGGAGGAGGAGGACGAAGAGGAGGAGGGGGATGAGGAGGAAGAGGACGAAGAGGAGGGAGGAAAGGGGTCCATAATCGGAATACTGATTATGGTCACCGCCCTCCTCCGTGTTCTTTGTAAGAAATTTCGCAACAAATCGGTGCGAAATTGTCGAACGGACTTTTAAGAAGGGGTAGTGGGGAGGGTACGAATAATAAAGAATATTTTTAACGTAAATACATACCAGATCGTATTAATATTGATTTTGATGAAATTGATGATATTTTTGAAAAGATTCAAACAATGAATGGCCATTTGACGATGGAAATCTACTCATCCCACGTGACTTGTAATATATTAGCTGATTATATGTAATAAACATCTACAGTCATCAATCGTATTCATTTGTTGCCAAGCATAACAATACAACAAGATAATAGCAATGACCATAACACACACTCCAAGCTTACAAACAAATATTTATTGGTCTCGTCATCGTACTAATTAAAAACTTTTTCAGCAGACTCAATTCAAGGCGTCTTTATTAACTCTAAAAGGTTCACTAAAAACAACGAACTAGAAATTGTAGTGTTGGTATCGTACGTTAGTGAGTTTATAGAGATAGTATTAATGTGCGGTTTAGAATCATTTTTTTTATTCAAATTTCAGGTTTCTCAACGTATTATGTGACATATAATATAATATCACAGTAATAGCACTCTGCAACTGTTAAATTCACGTTCGTCTTTGTTGTCATCAAGCTTTTGTATTAGATACGTTTGGAAGCATACATCTATGACGTTACGACTGATGGAGATTAACTATACATGGGCTAAGATTCCAGCCTGTTGTGTCAAAAGTGTATTAAATACAATTTTACCAAAAAGTTAGACCAACGAAGCGTCTTTTTTACCAGCGCTGGTTCGCAAAAGTGTACTTTAATTTCCATAACCAATATTCCGCGTTTCATTTTTCCGCTTCCGGTGTTCTATACGTTGGAAGTTAATCTTCTAAATTGCCTATTATAGAAAATGTACCTTTTAGATGATAATAGTTGAAAGCATATTTACACGTGTACTTATCCTTTGTCAGTTGAAGCGTTTCTTACAAGATGCCCAATTTATTATGTATAAAATTAACGTTTAACATAATGTCCAGGTTAAACGCTCAAAATTCAATTAAAGGGTGCTACCTCCCCCATTAGATTTGGTATTCGCAATCACTGTAGGAAAGGTAATTTACTTCCTCCGACGTAGAGGAGGTACCATAAACAGTAATCAGTAATTGTGCTACTTATACTATCAACCTTATTCTAATCAAACAATAAAGAAATCCTTCCACTTTATGTGACGGGAGTAAGCTAATGCTGTAAATGAGTGCACCAAATACTGGTCACACAGTTGAGTAAAAAAAAAAGTTCAACCAAAGTATCTGGATAATGGATGCATCCCGCCGTTTACCGTATCCTCTCGTGAATAATAATAAGCACCCCCTAATTATACTGCTATTAGCAACACAAATGCATACACTTCTGGTTATTGCGATTACTCCCTAATACCAATACTAAAGTTTATTGTTCATGTGACGATTTACCGATCATTTTATGGGGTGCTTATTCACGTATTCATTGATTGATATGTACAATAATTAGGGACAACGAGCTAGCTCAGACTGTCGATAACGTAAGCGCTGATTACGATATCAGATAACAAGTACAACGAAAAATGGAAAACCATATTCAAAATCAATATACAGTAATATATATTGATATTAATATAGACAAACGAAGATTAATATGACACTCTCGTTTGTATGACTTTCCCACACATCTCGGCGTAATTCTACATTGTTGTTTTGCCCTCTCATGTATTGTATGTTGAACGCACAGGTAGCAATGTCATTGTGTTACTTCGATCGGTCAATAGGATGGCCGCTTTTCTGCATGTTAGTATAGACTGAAAATGGAAGAGTGTATCAATATGCTCACATGAAAACTTCATTGGTGGAATTTTATATATCGTTAAATAAACCCCCCCCCAACAAATGAAATGAGCTAGCAGAGTAAGGGCAAGTAGAAGCACAGAAGCACAGAAGCACAGAAGCACAGAAGCAGAACGTCGATATGAATAAGACTACTAGAAAATGGAAAGAAAAAAAAACATCACAAAGGCACCTTTCTGCAACAAGTCGTGCTTATCTTGTGCAATAAATCAATAAAGGATCGACAATATTAGATACTCCGAATACCCTGCATACAGCGCCAATTTCCACTGTCTATATTAATATGCATTATTACCTTCAAACATATTCGGTACTATTGCAAATGAGTTTCGTTAAAAGTATACTATTCGCTGTAGGATTTTATTGTTCCCTGAGATAACCAACCTCAAACTTCTAGTCAGCGTACATCCTCCCTGTACAAAACAAACGCGTTCCGCTGCCTACTAATTTTCTGCAGCATAATTCCATTGTGATTACCGTTATTATGCCTTGTCTATAGCGATCGATTTTCGGCCCTTGACTTGGACCCTTAAAAGCTACTGCGCACATCATTTGCAATGTAACACAGGATGCCATTTATTTACATAGCAGTCGGAGTTTAGAGCCGCGAAGACTTGTGATTGATATAGGTAACAAACGATATTCGCACATGTGAATCGATTCATGTGAAATAAAATAAAGAAACACTGTCGTATGCGACCTGATTGTAGTGACATCGTTTCTTACTTGGAGCTTCTCTGTCTTTCTGTCGGGAAATATATGGCAATTTTGTTGAGCACTATGTTAATTTAAAAGCCATTGTCAATGTATTATTAGCAGTATTTTATGAAAACTCATTGAAGCCTACAAGTATTCCTCTGCATTCACAATGGGATATAATGCTATTGTTAGTCCGATATGCACTCAATTATGTATGTCTTGGTACTGTAAGCATTCGGTTAATTGAATGGATAATTGACATTATGGGCAATAATTGACATTATAAAATACGACTACTTGTTAGTTACAATGACTTTTGCTAATACATTCGATTAGTTATAATAACAAGTTTACAATTAATTTATGTGTGCTATTCAAAAACGCTATATAGACTACAACAGGAAAAGTGAAATATTGTTTGGGCCTAATACTAATAGCAATACCTCCGAATAAAACTGCGTCGATAAAGATACAATATGCCATTCACGTTTGTGAGCTGATTTTTTTTTTATAAATACAAGCTACATACATGTATTCCAGGCATCAAGCTAATACCACTTGCTCTCCTATTGCAAGCCAGAATATTATTCCTCATATCACAAGCGACTCGCTCAACTACTTGCAATCCATAGGTAAATCACTCAAAGCACTGCTCTTTACAATCGAATATGCCGTTTCTAACCCACAACATTCCCGTGTTTTATTTCATACTTGTAGTCAGAGGGCTCTTTAGGCAAAAAGTTATTGCAAAGCTGATAACGCTGCTCATTCACTTATCCAAGGTGAGAACATTTGCTTATTTAAATGAGCGTGCTGTTAACGGGTCTATACTTTAACGAATGCAGTTCCCTTGCTTCTGATTAATTGCATTTACAAATTGTATTATTATACTTGTAGGTTGAAACCGTCATACAGTATCTGTAAAGATCAATACGTATCAATGAGACCAAAAGCAATACTCTTCGATCATGACCTTCAATTCTATGAAGATCATGTTGTGGTTCATTCTCATATTACTTGTTTTGAGTTTAATGATGGTGCTCTTACTGGTTACGTCGTTCATCGAACACGCGTTTATCTTATTGTAAAAGAAAAACGCAAGGGTTATAAATGTAAGTTAAAGAGAGTTTACTAGCAAGTGAACGTTCATAATATTACTAATAAAATGGTACATATTTGTTGATACCGCCAGAATTACCTCGCATATTATGATTTGAAATTTGTCACCACTGGGCCCACGTTTACAATAGCCATGATTAGTATAGGGCTCCCGAAAGTAAAGTAATAATTCACTACGTAATTCGCGTCAATATGAGTAATATTTCCAAGAACTCTTTTGAGCAACTTGCTTAACGTTTGCAATTTCATATTTAACTCCTCTTGTTGCATATATAACAAAAGACTGTCAACATTATTAATAGCTTCTGCCGATGGTATCTTTCTCGCTTTCTCTAGTTCCTTTTTTTAACATAGACGTTTAGTGTGAGAACGTTTTTGGAAGTTGATTCCAGCATCTTGGATATTATTAGACACAACGATGTGGAAGCTTTGAAAGATTGAGATCGATGATTCTGATTAGTGGATTGTCTAACGAACTTTGCTATATCTTTGTTATACCAATAAATTTGCTCAAGTGAATGGCTTTATAATGCATGGCTGTCAAGTCGAACTGATTCCAGAAAATACAAGCCATCTTCGTTCAAGTAAATTTCCCAGTGTACACATCTGTGCATACCTGCATGTCTATCTGGTGGCATCAATATTATTTAATGTGGATTGCTATAACAACACGTGCATTTATCATTATTGAGAAGGGATTTCCTTTGACTGAGGGCTTGACAACAAACAATCTTAATAAAGAACGTCACACCTTAAACCCTTTATATATATATCAATAACGTAATAGTAAATTAGCTCTGCTGTCGTAAATTATATACAATTCGCTATAGAAATACGAAAATTCTGGACAAGAAGTATGATTATTTATAATCTCCAAGCAACCACCGGGGTGTAATGACGGGAAGCGCGTACGCACAATTTGGCGTAGCCTGCAATGTTCTTATAAATGAAGAAGAAATATGAGACAACGCGCTCATAATGGAATATGTAAAAATCAGCTGTACACAAGTAAAAACCAAATACCTTGCCATTCTTTTCCAATGCTTCGATCATCGAGTCTGTTGTGTTCAAATCGATGTAGGCGAATGGCTGAGTTGGACACGGCCGAATACATTTTATCTGTACGAATAAAAAGCAATTTGTTTCAACCCCATCTCCCAAGTAAAAACACTAACTCACGATACATCAAATATTTGCTCTTACGTCCAACCCACGGAACAGCTGCCGTAGTTCCTCGATAGTTGCCGGGTTACCGCGCCACGAGACAAACACGGTATTGGATCGTTTGAGTACCTGATGTACAAAATTATTTCATAAGGGTTAGATTCTATCCAAGGCCAAGAAGCTACCAATGCTAATAAAAGAACGCAAAACTCCAAGAAGCTACCAATACGCGTATTAACCTACCTGATCAATCTGCCACTGTTGACCGGAACGTAGGGCAGTACGAATTTGCAATTGGTCTATTAGTCGCCTTGGCAACAATTTCTCGTACTGCCCAACTTGTTCACTGTATTCATCCGGTGATATGTTAAAAAATCGGATAAGATTGATCGTGGCTTTTATGCTCGGTTTTATTTGGAATATATCGGCGGCCGACCATTCTGTTGGATCTCGGTCTATTTGCGGATGTTTATCTAATGCCCGTCGCAGAATGTATTTCCATAGTTCTACCTCTCTAATTTGGAGATCGTCCCGCTGCAAAAGACAAAGTAGCACGTCTTCTTCTATTGGCTGGGGATTTTCAGGAAATACATTCATTGCGTCTGCAGCACACACTTTGAGACATAGCTGTGTAAGCTTCTTGCAAGACGCAAGCCTAAAGACAAAATTTAATACTAGGACAGGCTGCATGCCTATGAATGGTTTTTTGGACTTTATGAAATTGTCCTGGATCTGCTCGATGAAACCTTCAAGAAGCAGCTCATCCGCAGCGATCAATAGTTTGAGAATGGCAATTTCCTCGCAACCGCCGATATCAATACTTCGGGTATACAAATAGCTGCAAAAAAAAATTAATTAATTATAGATGAGTTTTAGCAATACAACCGGTTATTCCGAACCACCTTAACATTCCTTACTTGAGAATAATTTTGAATAATTCTGGCTCGACATTTGGTTTCTTAAAATGGTAATATTTCCCCATTTTTCGAAGCCACGTTTTGGATAACGCGGCACCAAAATATCTTGATGCCTTGGATAAAACCGAAATATGTGTCTTGAAGGTTGTTTTGTTTTGTCCTTCACCAGCAACAATCAACAGATTGTAATTTTCTGAAAATTTGTTACTGGCTGACACCTCGCACGTTGGCAACTGTTGGATGCTTCCTGCGTCCGGTCTATCATTTGGGTATTCATGTGACATTATGGTTTTTTTGGGGGTTCAATAGACTTTGTAATTAAATGTTGGTCGCTATTACTATTACTATGAAAGAGAATTTGACAAAAATATCAAGCAATTACAATATAGCATTGTAAAACACGCTTTTAAATAAAAACTTGATTGTTTGTATAGATGCGATGCAATAACTCGCCTTTAAGCGAGACAACAACCAGTTCAGATAATAATAGCCTGCCAATAGCATAACTCCAAGTTAGACATTATGTGATTATCCCAATGCATAAATGTGCTTATCAGTTGACGAGCGTACATTTTGCAATACTGATTATTGATAATTCGATATAAATTTGATATAGACAACCGAATACTATTAATATGTTGACACCGAATAAATGAATACTTTAATACTTAACAATTGATTGATATTAGTTTGTAAGACTTTCCCACAGGCCCTCGGCGCAATCCTTTATTGTTTTGTCTTTCTCGTATTGTATGTCGAACATACAAGTTGTACAGTGTCAACAAAGCTGGGGTACTCTGACTGGTTCAACAGGAAGGGCGCTTCATGCGCATATGTCGTATGTTACGTACGTAAATTGAAAAAGGAAAGGCGTATTATATTATTGCTCACGTGAATATTTTTTTTTCACCGTCAATATACTGAATCCGAAAAAATGAAAGAATGCCGCTAGCAATAATTCAAAGTACGTATAAAAACATGAAAAGTACGGCAATTCACACTATTACAATTAATTAATTCAGCTGGTCATGCCACTTATCTTTGCATTGTCATACTTATCACCTCACCATACATAATCGATAATGGATCAAGATTATCAAACTCTCCGAATATATCCATGTTCGGATAATTAGATTCCAACTGATAGTGGAGACCAGTGGCTAGCTAACGATGAGATATCACATACAGAGAGAAAATGAGAGCCGTTCGGCGAAGCTTTCAGCCAATCCCTAAACCGTAATTACCGTGCTTCTTGGGAAAGACAGCAGCTGCCATACCATTTACAATATTTTATTTGACACAAGATGGTGTCACTTTATTTTAACTAGAGTTATTTGCAAGCATTATAATTGCATGCGGTCGGAGTAGTGTTCCGCGAATAGTCAGTTGTCGATTGGATAAAGTAAACAAATTATGTTCACACATGTGAATCACTTTATGTGAGACAAAGAAACGCAAATCTTATTTGCTATATTGTATGGTGGCATAGTCATCAATGGCTAGCATCCCCTGTCAAGTCGGAAAACTTATTAACTCCATTCACCTCGCTGTCATCTGTACAAGGAAGGGCTTACATTGTTGAGGCTAATTTGAAAGCAACTGTTAATGATATTATTAACGAATGTATTTTCTAGATAGATTATTCGGCCATCCTTTAAGGAATAGATAACAGCTGTTCAGTCGACGACCCCTGCTATCAAACAAACGCACAAAGAAAAAGCACCATTATTTCATAAGGCATCTATAATGTTAAAATGGGAAATTTATTGATCTTGTGTTTCCCCAATATTTGATCCCATTCACAATGACAAACAATACTAGTAACATGGCGTGCAACGAATGGCATAACTGAAAATATCAGTAACATAAACAAGCACAATTTATGTGTGATATTCTAATATATATATAATTTGGAGTACTGCAAGAATTGTTTGGCTTTATTAATGTGTCGAATTGAATCGAATTGTAATGGCAAGGTTACGGTATGGAATCAACATATACTACAGTTTAAGTTCTCACTGATTTATAAATATAATCTATTTGTAATCCCAGGCATCGGAGAACCGAGATTCATTGTATAATTTGAGAAGAAATTTCGCAAAGTAATACCTTTGTCCTTTAAAATCAAGTACGTCGTGTATTTGTTAAAACGTTTGTTTCAACAATAATTATAACCTAAGCTTTAATAATAATATTGCTCTCCCCCCATCCTTAGCTAGTACGAGCGACACTTTTTCGACAATCTTTCTCTTATAATTATAAAATCAATTATCAGTCAGGTGAGAATATCCTCCGCTTGTTTGACCAACAATACGTCAACCCACGTTTAATAATAAGCGTGCTGTTAATGATTACATGCGTTAACGCAAGCAAGCAATTTCTGACATTGGTATTTTACAAGTTACATTATACTTCTTGATACGATGCAAGACCAAGCCATCCGCCGCAGAGGCAGTCGTGATTTTCGCGATGAAGATTATGTCCGTTTTCTGCTTTTATATTCGGTATTCATGGTATTTATCATGACCTTTTTAAATTGGAACGCTGGTGAATATCTATAAGGGAATCACGGTTTGTATTGTAAAATATACTCCCGATAGTATGTTTTTGCATTTTACTAAGAAATTCCTAATATTGACGCGGACATATCCAATCTGCTCTGACAGCGTTACGACGGTTTTTTTTTGTATACCGTCTTACAATATCAATTATCGTATCCGTTAAGTGTACGGTGTATGTAATTCTTGTTACTTTACATAGATTGAACTAATATTAGAGTGGCCCTTCAGTGAAATACGGAACAATTGGAATTGCATAAAATAATGTAATTTAAACTGATTAATATGCAAATAGCAAGGGCATTATTTTATAATTTAGTCTCTTCTCGATCTCTTGGGCGTGTATGCTAGACCAAATCTACCCTTTCCTTTTTCATTTCTTCATTTATTTAACACCTAGGTCACCATTAAACAGTTAATAAAACCATCTCTGAGACTCTAAATTGCAAACAGTTATAACATGACCAGACCTACTATCTAACATGTTAATGTGATGACATACTGGGCATTAGCACATCTGTTTCGGAAGTTGAATGCGCGTATTACTATGGATAATATCGCTTATATATAAATCCTATTATAAAGACAGTATGATGTTGTAGGAGGATGAGAAACAAGAGCTTTAATATTTCAGGTTGAGATGCGTAGTATTTTAAGGGAAGATTTAGAGAAGGGAAGATTTGTCAAGTATTTTGAATTTTATATCTTATTAGTCAATGAAGAAGCACTCTGCAATAGGGAGTATAAAGAAGTTGCTTCAGTAGTGGATCTAGGAAGACTGTGTTAGTATAAAGTCATTGATTGTATCGTCAGATAATAGTACAAAATGAATGGTATAAGACTTTATTCAAAAGATGATAGTACAAAATGATAAAATAAAAATAAATCAATATTTGATACAATTACAAGTTTCTACAGTTCTGATAATACAAACTACCAGTTATTCTATGAAAATATGATGCGAAGACATCCTTCTCTCGACCCGGTCTATCCTCTTCTCGACCTGGTCTATCCTCTCCTCGACCCGTCCAGCCTTTTCTCCACCCCTTTGATTTTCGCCTCCGCACGCGTTTACGTGATGGACGGCCGCTTCGAACGTCCTCGTCAGTGTTGCAAGCCACCCCACCCGACTGGCTTGATGTCATCTCTTGTACGTTTGATGGTTGTGTATTAGTAACACAACCAAAGATGAGAGAGGTTGTAAAGTAGCTTGTCCTCTCTCTATCTTTATCTACATGGAATTTAGCATCCATGACCTGCGATATGCAATAACTATCTAGAAATACAAAGAAATCACATGATTAACAAGTGATAAATAACAGGTGAAGCTTTAGAGCCGTATATCGCAAGCGAAATAAATGGTATCATTTTTTTTTAAAACTTACAGAGAGTTTTGCAGTATATTCATTGATGGGCGAGCGGCCATCGCTCCATTCACAGGCCTCTCTGGCTTCGCTCCATTCACAGGCCTCACAAGCCTCGCTCCATTCACAGGCCTCTCCATTCATAGGCTTCACAGGCTTCGTCCCATTAATAGGCCTCACACAATCAGAAATCTAGAAAAATACGCAAACAAATATACTACAAATCAGCATCACACACTCGCTTAAGGCAAAAAAAAAGAAAAAAGAAAAAAAAAGAAAAAAGAAAAACACCTTACCTTATCCATGATTGTGAATGCAATGAGTCTTATAATCCCAGACTCGCAGACCGGTGAATCTTCTATTGCCGCGCGGATTATGCTGTTTAAGGACTGCGCTGTGCCAGGTATGGTGACAGTGCTTTAGAAAGGAGAAAGGAGAAAGTGAGAAAGGAGAAGAGAGAATTGCAAAGTAAGGAAAGTAAGGCATACATTATTATTATATTAATAATAATCACCTTGTCATACTCTCAAAGGAATATGCTCCATCTGATGGAAAAGTCCAACAGCGCACCACGCGGTTTGATACCTCGTTGATATGCTCTGGAAAAGAGCCGACCGTGTCGCATAAATTTGAGTTTCGAGATACTGTCAGATGTCTCCTATAAAACGTAAAGTCGATAATATTAGTCAAGTATTAGGGTGAAAATATCTGAAGCAGCTTTACACTCATTCTCCTCTGCGCATTATAGAGTAATCTCTCTTTTGTCCCAATTCCTCACGCTCAAAAATTGCTAATTAGCGAACCGAGAGAACTGTCATGTCAGACAAGCTTCCACAGCACGTCACTCTGTTCACATTCGTTACTCTTAAACATTATAACTAGTATTCGTAATTGTCTACTCTAGTTATGTTTACCCATGTACACCCTCTTCAGCTCTCCCCTCGAATCCCAGTATTCACACAACAATTTCCTTCATCTTTCTCAATAACCCAGAACTATGGTCTAATCTTCAAACTCTGTAATTACACCACTCCTATTCCACTAACGGACCCGACGCCTCTTCGAGCACATATGTATGGTATTGGCTTTTAACTCACATTTTCTGGCGGTTATACGACAATGCAAGGGGTTGAAGACAACATAGTAATAAGCGCCGCACACCTTCGAGCATATCAATAAATGCTAATAGGCCAAGTCACATGGATGCATTTAGTTACATGCGGTAAAATGACATTTATGGTAAATTAAAAATGTGTAAATCTTATTAGGGCGTTCAGATATGGTAACGCTTCGAGTTACTAAATTTAGTAGTCTCCTGCTGCATTTGGGAAGTATCATTATCGTTATATTGACTAGCTCAAATTGGGTCAGGCATAAGACGCAAGTCTATTATGGTATAGTGTGCTCTAATCAGTACCAGATTTGGTAACGTTTCGTTACTAAATTTGGTAGGGGAGATAAGGGGTTACTGATGAGATTTATTAGATGAGATACAACATCATACTAATACCAGATTAAGATGTCTAATAAACACAAGCATTATTGTGTGTTCTGATATGGTGGTATGTTTTTATGGGTTCTGTAGAATGGAATGTGAGACACGAGGATATAGTATCCATTGCTGCAAGTTCATTATTGACGAATCAAAGGTGACACTTATATAGGGAATTGAAAAAGTGAACTCAATCAATCACCAGCATATTAGCTGCTGGAGATCTCACGTGTTGAGTTTTGATAAGATCGAGAAGAATCAAATAGAAACAGTATACAAGCAGCGACGGAAGATTGCAGGCCAAGTGATTTCTTTTGATACAATCTCCCGGCGAAGGAATTGATATGTCAGATTGTGACAATCATTGTATTGGGGGGGGGGGGAAAAGCTGAGGTGAGCAGCTTGTATGTATTGAATTTTACCTTTCTTTCGGTTTGCGAGATTATGATCGTTTCTCATCTGCTAAGGCTAGTACTAGTTGGGTTGGTTCTAGTGATTCAATTTTCAGTTGGTATTTTGAAAACATACCCTCTTCTGATCGATCCAACGTAATAACTCCTGATATTCTAAACTGCTCTTGTAGATTCGAGATATACTGAACCTTCTGATAAGAATCAACAATAACTTTGCCAATTTATATGCAAAAATATAAAGAATGAATGTCTTTGCCGGAGACCTAACTGTACACGTAATATTAATGGGTTACCCGTCCAATCTAACAAACGACGCGTAGAATAATAATCAAAATGCATGCTAAGGAAAAAACTAGTTATAGAAATACATTCGAACCTACCGAGCGGTCGTCGTAGTTGTTAATATTTAATACTTGGTAGAAAGACGATTTGTCCAACTTATCATATCTGACATTACAGTAAGGAAAGAAATCGTGAGATGAGTAAAAAGGCTTTTAAGATTACATTAATGATTTCTCTTCTTTGCTACGCAGCACACAGCACGCGATATTATTTTTTTGTCAATAAAACTTTAACCAGTAATAAAAGATTGTACATTATTGCATTTTGGCTTACTATAGCTTAGCAATAAGTCGTACAAATATCGCCGTCGTTTTTAAAGCGAGTTTATTTACCTTGTGATTTCCGTTAGCAGAGCCTCGTGTCTAGGGCTTTTTGAAGGCATCAATTAATTTTAATTTGGAAAACAGAAGCATCTTATGCACACAAATGTTTACGTGTACAAATCATAAAGTTTGTAGCTACATAGTTGGTCCCTTTTTCGCGATATAAATATTTGTCACAAATCAATCATAATTGTTCTTTTGAGGTTACTTTGACCCTGCTTCTTCCTTATTCAGACCTTATTATTGTGATAAATTTATGTAATACAACCCTCGCTTAACAAGTAAGCAGTGGGTACATGCGAGTTGAAACTCGTCACATGCGTGTTTAATGAACATCTTCCATAGTGTGCTGGGGACAGCTATACATTTAACAGACAAACCATGTTTTGTAAAGACTATAATATAAGAAGAAACCAAGCAAGTTTATTGTTGCGAGATTGCTAATCAGTTCAAATATTGTCTGAATCAGAGTACGTTGCCTTCAGAAGATACTCATTAAGGAAGTTTGTGCAATAATGAACCGAAGAATGTCCTAGTATGACCTTGCTTAATTGATGATGTTTGGAGAACGTTTTTAAATTTTATTAATTGTTATTATTATGGATTTAAAACGTGAATCGAATGGAGGTACGGAACAGGCATTTAGTTTTGCTGACATTTTAATAAGCGTGTTTACATGACGATTATGGCGAAGGTACGCGTTTGGTCTATCTATATAAGAATATGCAACGCGTTTTAATATATACTAACCCAATTAGCAACCTTTTTCCGGTAATATTTGCTTTGTAATTCACTGTACTCTTTTGTGTACTTTGAGCAAGGTTTCTTTGCGTTTGCCGTGGTCATCGTATTATTATTATTATTATTATTATTATTATTATTATTATTATTATTATTATTATTATTATTATTATTATTATTATTA